CTCAGCCTCACAACTGAAGCTGAGAACTGAAGACGAACGTGTAGAACGCCAGGAAACTGAGCCAGAGCCATGGCTGAAGGTGTAAGCCTGTGACGACCGCTGAGTAGCCTGGTCGTCAACCCAAGAAGCGTCTGAGTGCCCAGTGAGAACAACTGATCTCCTCCCTCCAAGCACGAGCCCCATGCCCGATGTACTGCACAAGTAGCACAGTACACTCTTTGCAGCATCCCAGTGCACCTTTCGGTGCCTATCAAGAGCCACGTAGCGGGCCAGAAGGCCAAGAGGGTATGCTAGGTTAGGACGAGTGCACGTCATCAGATACATGAGGCAGCCAACTAGCTCTGGGTAAGGACCACTCGGCTCTACGAACTCATCCGAAGGCAGAGCTGAGAGCGAGTGACCTGTATCTAGAGGAGTGGCCTGTGCTAAGGACCAGGTGAAGCCGAAGCACTGAAGGACCTGCTGCACCATGTGTGACTGAGTCAGAGTGATGGTGCGGCGTGCTCTGTCCCGGGTGATCTGCAAGCCAAGGTAGCTGCGCAGTTCACCCAGGTCTGTGCACGTGGGTCTCTTCTGCAGCTCCGAATTCACGTGGGCGAGAGCCTCAGAGTCAGCAGTGGCAAAGACCAAGTCAACAACGTACACGAGGATGTAGAATGGCGGCAGCGACGTGTCGGTGCGCAGAAACAGCGACGGGTCAGCAGTAGAAGGCGCGAACCCAAGAGCCGCAAGAGTAGTCCTTAGTGTGTCGTGCCACTCACGTGGCGCCTGGCGGAGACCGTAGACCGGCCGCCGGAGGCTCCACTGGGTACCAGGGGGAAACGACCCAATGAAGCCAGGAGGGCGGCGCAGCCAGATCTCCTCATGCAGGCTGCCCTGCAAGAAAGTTGTGCTGAAGTCAAGAGAGTGAAGCTCGTAGTCACGCTGAGCGGCAACGTGCAGTAGCACCCGAAGAGTGGTCATCTTCGGGGTGGGGGAGAAGGTCTGAAAGAAGTCTACTCCCTCTCGCTGACCGAAGCCTCGAGCAACGTAACGAGCCTTGAAGACAGGCGGAGAACCTGGCGGCCACTTTCACCCTGAAAATCCACATGCCACTGACGATGTTCGCCCCTGGAGGGGGAGCCTCGTCGACGTAAGTGCCCGTGGACTTCCAGGATGCCATCTCTGCGTCCATGGCTGACTGCCACTGAGAGGAGTACTCACCCGCGATCACCTCAGCGTAATAGCGCGGGGTCGGGATGTCTGGAGCATCCAGGTCTCCCTCAGGGGCAAGCAGCACGGACATGAGATGAGGCGTAGCGGCTGCAAGACACTCAAGGTCCTCCTGTGTGTCCTCAAGGACGTCCGTGCCTAGAGCACACTCACCCCCGACGGACGGAGGACAGACAAACTCAGACTCAACAACAAGACTCGCGGCGTAGTCTAGACGACAGTGAGCAGCAAAGTCGACAAGCTCAGCAACTAGGGCAGACGCAGCAGCGGACTCAAAGGAAGGGTCAGTGACAGTAGTGGCCAGGAGACGCGTGACAGTAGGACTGGCAGCACGAACCTGGTCAGACTCCGGGTCAGCAAGAACAGGAAGAGAGGACGCATGAGGAGACGGCAGTGGAGCATTGGAAGGACGCAAAGTCATATAGTGTGTGCCAGGGACAGGTGGAGGACGCTCACGCGGAGCACGGCGACCCGAGCGAGCAGTACGAACAGGCGACACAAGACGAGACTCAGGCGACATAGGACGAGACTCAGGCTCACGACGCTCTGTAAGACCGCCTGTCGGACCAGTGTAGGGAGAAGGACCAGGAAGTGGCGAGGCAGGCGGTAGCTGCAACTGCGACTGGACAGGCGGAGGACACTCTAAGGAGGGAGCAGGACAAGGAGGAGGCGACTGACCAAGAACATGCTGGAGGAGTGGAACGAAGTACGGTCGCGGCCGTGCTTGCCCCCAGAACCTCCCCACCTCCCTGCTGCTTGTTCTGTCAGACTCCAGTCCTCGCTGCTCTCTCCTCCCTTATCTCCCCGGACTGGCTCGTTGGATCTCACCCCTTTGGCTCCCCCCCCTTTTACTAGGAACCTCTCTTGTCCTCGTCAGTCTTACTGATTGTCCTCCTAGTGTGGCCTCTGGCTGCACACTCTCTTCCCCTCTCCCTCTTCTCCGGTTCTGCTTCTGGTACTGAACTCACTCTTGCCCCCTCCCAGGACCAGCTGCCGCCGTCCTCGCCCTGGTCATGGGACCAGAGTACTGCTGCACTCCCTTCGCTTTCCCGGCCAAGGCCACATTAGTCACGTGGTCCATCACCCGCTTCCCATTCTCTCCCTCTAGCACCAGTACCCCGGAGTCTCGCACCTCCTTCACTGTCCACCTTTGCTGCGACACTCCCAGGTCCAGCCCATCCCGCTTTGCTCGCCTGACATACACTTCTCCTCCCTCCTCCACAGCCGGATCTCGGCCTTGCATCCTTGCCAGCTGCCGCTGCTTGTAGCGGTGAATGTCTCGCAGCTGCGCCACCTTCAAGCTCTCCAGCGCAGCAGGCAGCATCTTCCTGAGGTACACCGCCCGTGCATCCGCCAGTGCCACCCACTTCTCTGCTGTTCCTGCAGACACGCTGTCCGTGAGCACTTTGGGAGCTCCCACCGGCAGAATCGTATGCTTCCCAAAGAGCAAATAGTAGGGAGAGACATCCTTGAGCGCTGCTTGCTTGCTAAACCTGTATCCTGCCATTACCCACGCCAGCTTCTTGTCCCAGTCCCCCTTATGCGCCTCCCCATATACCCGCAGGCCTCTCTTCACTGTCTGCACCAGCCTCTCTGTCAGTCCGTCGGCCTGCGGATGATACCTTGAGGCTGTGCGGTGATGAATCCCGTTGGACACCAACAGCTCCTTCAACTCTCCCTCAAACTCCACCCCTTGATCTGTGAGCACCTCCCCGCATGCCCCGAACCGTGTGATCACCATTTCCTCAAATGCTTCTGCCACTGCTGCTGCTGACTTGTTCACCAAAGTTCGTGATTCCGCCCATTTGCTCACGTGCTCAATCATGAGCAGTATATACTTCCTCCCCCTCCTTGACACTGGCAGCTCCCCTGCAATGTCCAAGGACCAGCGATACCCGAGCTCCACTATAGCCAATGGCTGCAGCTCCGCCTGGCTCCTCAGCAGCGTGGCCTTGTTCCTGCAGCACAGCTCACACTTCTCTACCCACTCTTTCACTTCTTACCTCATTCCCGCCTACCACCACCTCGTCTGCAGCAGCTGGATCGTGCGCAGCGGTCCGTAGTGGCCAAGCTTCTCGTGCACTTCCTTGATTATAGCCTCTCGTGCTGCTGGCTCCGGTACTCGCTTCCACCCATCCTTGGTTTGCAGCTGTACCTGCCCCTCGTACCACCTGTAGTGTTGCCCCCTAGCCCTCGCCCTTCTGTCAAGTCCACCATCCTCTGCTGTCTCTACCTTGATCCATGCCAGCGTCGCTGCGTCCTGCCACACATCTGCCGCTCCTCTCTCCTGCTCCCCACCTGCCCCCTTTTCCTTGACCATGATAGCCAGCGATGCCACCGGCTCCCCCCTTGCTGTGTCTCCGTTCTCTCCGTCCTCCTGCTCCCTTGGTGGGTTTCTTGAGAGCCCATCCACGTGCTGCATGGTTCGGCCCGGGCGGTGCTTCACTGTGAAATCGTATTCCTGTAATTTCATCGCCCATCGCGCGTTCCGCCCTGTGAGAGTCTGGTTCTGCATCAGCCACAGCAAGGGCTGGTGATCCATCACCAGAGTAAAGTGCCTTCCCTGTAGGTACACTCGAAAGTGTCCCACTGCCCAAACTGCCGCTAGCCCCTCTCCCTCATATGACGAGTAGTTGGCCTCCACTGGATTACAGGTTCTGCTCGCAAATGCGACTACCTTCTCCTGTCCTTCTTCCAGCTGGCTCAGCACCGCCCCCATGCCTACGCTGCTCCAATCCGTGTAGAGCACGAAAGGCGCCTTCCCGTTCGGCAGCTTCAGTACGGCCCCGCTCTTCACCGCCTCCATCAACCCCTTCAAGGCCTCTTCTTGTGGCTTCTCCCACTGCCACATCTGATCTTCTCTCAGTAGCTTGTTCAGTGGTGCCGCGCGCTTGCTAAAGTCGGGAATGAACTTTCTGTAGTAGTTCAGGAATCCCAAAAGTGCTCGTAGCCCGCTCCTGTCCCTTGGTCGCCCCACCCTATCCAACACCTCCACCTTAGCCTTCTGGATGCTCAGCTCCCCTCCGGCCACCTCAAACCCCAGGTAAGCCACGCTGCTGTGTCCGAAACAGCACTTGCCCGGATGGCATGTTAGTCCCGCCGCTTGGATGGCCGTCAGTGTCACCTCTATGTCCTCCACGTGTCTTTCGCTGTCCGGGCTAAAGATGATGACATCATCTATGTAACAGGCAGCTCCCTTAACCTCTCTTAGCACGGTGTCCATTACCCGTTGGAAGACTGCTGAAGCATTGCGCAGGCCAAACGGCATATAGTTCCACTCGTACAGGCCGTCTGGTCCATGGAATGCCGTCTTTCGTTTATCCTCCTCTGCTATAGGGATTTGGTTAAAACCTTGCCACAAATCCAGCGTAGAGAACACCCAGCTTCCGTGCAGCTGATCGAAAATTTCCTCTGCCATAGGCATAGGGTAGCGGTCGCTAGCCGTCACTTTGTTTAGGCCCCTGTAGTCCCCGCACATTCTCCTTGACAGGACTGCTCCTGTCAGATCTGTCCTGGTGGCTACTACTGTGGCAGCTGCATAGTCTGAGGAAGAGCGGCGGATCAGCCCGATCGCCAATAGCTCCTGGCATTTCGCGGTGCAGACCTCAATGTCCTGTGGGCTTATCCTCCGCCGTCTCTGATACACTGGCACCTCGCTGGTCAGAGGCAGGTGCATGGTACTCATCGTGCACTTCCCCAGCTCCTGCAGAGTGTGTGCGAACGCCGCTGCGTGCTTACGCAGCACTGCTTCCAGCCGAATTGCTGCAGTTCCTTGCAGGGCAGCGCCTATGTTCCATTGGTGTTCCCCTTCCGGCTCTCCTGCTGCCACTTGTCCTTCCATGCCCTCGGCGACCTGTGGTGCTGGCTGTCCCTCATCCTCTACCTTCCTTTCCGCTTTGCTCTCCCCTCCTTCTCCAGCGTCTCCTGACCGCTCTTCTCCGCCGTCGCTCCTCAGCGCCATGTACGCTCTCCTTGGGCCCAGGAATACTTTGTCAGGGTCAGGGATCCATGCGTCCGTTGGATCCTCTCTCTCTTCACTGTCCCAATCCATTTCAGGCTCCCCCCCTTCTTCCACATCCTCCTCCTCCTCATCCTGGTCAGGGTATCTCCCGGGTGCTTCATCCCTTTCCGCGTAGCTTCCCGTCCTCCTCTCCACCGGTACCCCCTTTTGACGTTCTTCCCGTGCTTCCTCCTCTAGCATTTCTAGGAACCGCTCCGCTTCCCACTGCTTTCGGTCATCCCGCTCTGTCCTTGGGTTTACTCTCGCTGCATGATCTCTCCTCCTCTCCAGCCGCTTTTTCTCTAGGTGCCTCTGTAGGACTCCCACTAGCCAGTGTAACGCGTTCAGATCCATCGCATTCCCTAGTGCCCTCTTTCTCTGCTACTCCGTCACGTCTCCACTTGGCGTGGCTCCTGCCATGAATCCCATTGCCAGCTCTCGTTCCAATGCTGTAGGCTCTTCCCATACTCCCTTCAGGCTGTCGTACACCATCCGTGGGCCTTCTCTAGCACCTTCCATCTTGAACCCCTTCGCCTGGTCGTGTGCCACCAGGGTGGGCCATGCCTGCGGTGGCTTGCCCACCGCGTTGCATGGGTACTGCATCTCGTGGTCAGGATACCTCACAGGAGCTGTGACTCTTGCAGGCTCGAGTATGTCCTGCACCAGGCGGGCACACGGCCTCTCCATCATAGACAACTCGTATAGGACGGCTGCCTCCGGTATCACATTCTGCCAGTACCTGCGAGGTCTGTGCGCCCTGCTGCCGTTCTGCGCCGCGTCCCAAGCCACTCCTGCCCCCAACTCTGCACGAATTTCTTCCTCTGCTCTCTTCACCGCCTCTCTCCCGTCATCCGGGGTGTCCACATTCTCCACTATGTATGCTACCTCCCCTTGCTTCCTCTTGATCATCTTTAACACTCGCACCAGCTCGCAGAACAGCCCACTCCTCGGATCCTCAAACCCCCTTCCTTCTCCTGCCCGTGATAAGCCGTGACACTCCCATCCTGCGACTACCAGATCTTCGTGCCCCCAGTGGGCCAGCGCGTCTTCCTTCACATCCTCTACCCTGTGACACACCCATTCCGCCCCCCTTTCTACTGCGCCTGCATACAACTGCGAGGGGTAATGCTCTTCCAGCTTCTTAATGTGGTACCAAGCCATGCAGTTCACCGCCTCATCATTTTCCACGTAAATATACTTCTCCACCCTCAGCCCTGCCTTCAGCACTGCGGCCAGCCCCGTGCAAATACCCGCGAACAACTCCAGCAGCACTATAGGCTTGTGGAACACCCCCGCATCTAGGTGTAGCTCCCTCAGTCTACCACTCTCACCCCAACGCTATCGGTGCCGATCTCGCTGCCTCCGTTCCTCATCCAATCTTTCCCAACTGAGAATCCCCAATTCTTCCTCCACACTCCTGATCTCTGCCTGGTATGCCTCTCGTGGTTCTCGGCGGATGAATCTGATGGGCAGTTCTGCCACTGGCTGATTCTTCTCCCAGTACACGACTCGGTACGTGAGTTTCTCCTCCCACATGCATATAGTAGCGCCGATGCAGTAGAGGAATTCCACACCCAACAACAGATCGTAGTCTTCCGAGGGTGAGATTCCACACTGTAGCTTGACCGAAGACTCCTCTGGGCTTCCCTGCCGTATGTAGATCTCAACCGTGCTACTGGTCTTCGGCATCCACTTGGTGCCTCCTCCCTCTGCTGTCATCAGCAGCAGGCCTTCTTCTATCTGTCGCTCTGGCCGATCTAGCTGCAGCTGCTGCGCAAGTCTCTTTCCGATCAGCACCGGGTGAGCCCCGGTGTCTATGATAGCCTGTTTCACTGCTACTCCTCCCACCTTTATATATCCCTTCTCGGCCACCAGCACAGACGCAGCGCAGCTGAGCCTCTCCAGTGGGTGGCGGCGCGGCGGGTGCAAGTCTTCTTCCTCTACTGCTGCCCGGCGCCTCGGTCGCTCTTCCCTCCTTCCCTCCGTCCGTGGCCTCAGATTTCTCTCCCGCGTCCTCAACCCCAACTCTTCGCGGTCCCTCGCAGGCCATGCCATCAGGCAGAAGTCCTCTTCGCTACTCTCCTCTTCTTCCCTCCTGGCCACCATTGCCGGTTTCTTCTCCTCCCCCGACTCTCGCTCCTCCAACTGAGCTCTCAGCCTCTCGATTTCTGCCCGCATCTCCGCAACTTCGCTCCTATCACGGCTGTCTCCCCTCCCTTCTCCCCTCTTCGAATAGCACTCCCTTTCCGCGTGCCCCCGTCGCCCGCACTTCCCGCACACCGGCGCTTCGGGGCATTTGTGCCTCTGATGATCCTCTTGTCCACAGATCGAACACGCCGGCGGGTTCCTGCAGTCCCGCCTCAAATGTCCCATCTGCCCACAGTTGTGGCACTTGCAGGTGTCTCCAGGGCCTCTCGGCGGTCGCTCCCTATCTACTGGAGCCGCGCTCCATGCAGGCCTCCAGTGCCCTGGCGCACGTTCTGCTGTGCGCTCCACCTCGAACAGCCGCCTCCCGGTCTCCACTCTCTTCGCCGTTTCGTACGCCACGCCCAGCGTTGCCGTCGCCCCCATCTCAAAGATCTTCACCTGTACGTCCCGCTGCAGCTCGTAATTCAGTCCATTCAGAAATTTGCTGACGAGTCTGCCTTGATCCACACAATTCATGTCCTCCGCTAGCTCCACCAGTCGCCCGTAGTAAGCCAGCAGTGACTCTCCCGACTTTCGTTTGAACCCGCGGAATTCGACCACCCGCTCCGGCGTCTGCAGAGGAAACTGTTCTCGCAGCATCTCCAGGAAGCGCCTCGTGGGGTCCCTTTCCCCAGCCGGGGCTTGTGCCGCCCAATCCAACAACTCTCGCCTGCAGATGCGATAATAAGTCTCCGCTTCTCCCGTCAGGGTATTCGCCAGCCCTCTGAAGATATCCTCCGCATCCAATCGATCTCGCTCCCATCGCGCGCGCAGATTCTCCAGCTGCATCAAGTAGTTCTTCAGCGAGGGACCGCGCCTGACTTCGCCCGAAAAGCGTTCCGGCACCTCCACCTTAGGCAGCATAGTATAACGCCAGCGTGTTAATGCTACGTCTTCCTCAAAGCCTTTCCACGATGCACTTCGGCGATACGGTCTGTCGCTATTCCGGCTAGCTCGGGTTGCCGCCGCTGTTTCTACGATCGGCAGTCCCTCCCCTTTCTCCTTTGTTTCCTCCTTTTCTGCGCGGTGCGGCTCTTCGTGCGCTTCTCCTGAGCCCGTGGCTCCGCCCGGCCTCTTTTCGCCCATTCCTTCCGCGCCTTGTGCGTTCGCTTCCGCCATCTCGCCTTCCTTCTTCAGGTCCTTCACTGCAAAATCTAGCCCCGATCGAGTGGGCATCCAAGCCTGAATGCTTGTATGTGATAAGACCTTGGCTCCTTCACATAACACACTCTGCGAATCGTTTTATTCCATCCTAGCTTGCAATATCTCCTTTTCCTCACTACTTGCTCGAGTAGGTGCAAGAATATCGTGTTCAAAAGAAACATACAAGCATTAAGGATAGCTACCACAAGGTACCTCCTATCTACCAGATCGGCCTCCGCCTCATTCATCCTGCCTACCCTTGCCTGTCCGCAGAGGCTAACGCGACTTTGGAACCGACTAGCAACCGCCCTGCCAACTGCCTCTGCTGCCTGCTTCCTGCTTCTTTCCCTCCAGCTGCCACTGTGCTGTTCCAGCTGGCTCCTTGGAGCACACCTGCACACATACGAAAGCAAACACACATGCATGCGAGCACCCATCCGAGCTGATGTGGTAACCTGCTGGCCCTGCCGCTGCCAAGCGCGGTAGTTTCAACCCTTCACCTCCTCCCACTTACGTAAGTCCCGCCCTGTTTGCTCCCCATGCCTTTCCCCAACCTTTCACTTCGGCAGACGTCACCCTCCCGCGCACCCACTTGTCTCCCGCAAACCTCAATCCTCACCTTGACCCTTCGCATCCCATCCTCGGCACTGCCCTCCTCGCTATCTACAGAATATACAATTTGTACACTTCCCGATCTCTCCTCACCATCCCGCTCACATTCACATAAATGTGACAGGACCTCATCCAAAGGACCAAGTGCCCGAGACGCCTCTTGGGAAAAGGGCTTTCAAGCCGACTTTCCCAATAAGCGGCTCACATGGAGAGCAATCAGTGCTCCCCCCCCCCAATCTCAAAGCCCAGTACACTATTTCCCCGAGCCATCTGTTGCAGTGTCATGGAGGCGGTATGACCAAGGCGGCGGCGAGCAAGGGTCAATGGGGAAAATGAGGAGGAGGATCTAGCTGCAAGAGCACTGCCCTGTATACCTCAAGCAGGAGGAAGAGACATCCGCACCAAACCAGGGTCCCTTCCCCACTCCTTTTCTCCAATCGCCAACACCCTCTCCCCCTATTTGATAACACATATCTTGCCCTGGAATGTGACAATGACATCTCGAGAAGTGAGGTGCGGGACTGACAGCAGACGTGTGTGCATCTCAAGTACAAGGTGGACCTTTTGAATCCTCAGAAGCTGACCTCCAGCACCAACCACTAGCACTTCACCCATGCCAACAGCTTTCACCACCCGTCCATCTCCCAATCGAACTCCCCGAATCTCTGGTGGCTCAAGCTTACTCTTGAAGTCTGATGCAAAAGGAGTAAAGTTGTGGCTGGCTCCACTGTCAATCCACCAGCCCTCTCGCGGCTGCTCCCCTCCTACTGCTGCAACTGCCTCTCCAAGCAATACCTCTACCTTGTCATCCTGCTCCTCCTCATCCGCCACCTGTGCCTTGTTGTTGGACCCACAACCCGCCTGTTGTAAGAATGTCGGAATGCCTTCCTTAGGTCGGTGAGGACATCGCTGCAATGCATGTCCCTCATCTCAATAGCCATGGCACAACCCCCTAGGAGCCATGCCCTTGGACCTCCAAGGGAAATCAAGCACTCATGTATTGCCTTTCCTCTGACCCCATCTTCCCGAGTTGGTGCCGCTGTTGCTACCGCTGCCTCTATGCTTTCCTCCCTTGTCCCAATTTCCCCTGCTGATGCTGCCCACTTTCGTACCCGCTCCAAAAGTGGCTACACCATCCGATCTTGGTGCTACACCAATCCGCATCTCTTCACTCCTCAAAGAGGTAAGCAACTGATCCTTAGTGAGCGATGGTGATTGGTTGTTCAACACTACATTCAGCATCTCAATGAGGAGGT